TGTAAAGCATGTGGAGGCAGAATCCACAAGGCTGTGAGCATGGATCAGGGAGGATGCTTGTTGGCTGAATTCATGTGAACAAACAGTAACAGGTAGCCATATTGGGATGGTGAAAACAGAGTGAGTTGGGTTCAGCTTGGACTTTATTCTAAGAGTAATCAAGAGCCATTGAAGGTTTCTGGGGCAACTGGGGATGTTTTAGAAAGGTTCCGCTGGCATTGCAACTTGCAGGATTACAACAACTTTAGTAATATTTAGAGAATAAAAGAAACCATTGACAGAGACTCAAGATTGTTAGATGGCTATAGGGCTGGTCCAAGCAAAGGTAACAAGGCTTTAAGCTGATGTGAAAAGAAACAAAAACAAGGAGAGAAAAAAAGGGGGGGACAGACAGACAGACAGCCATGAGAGAAGTCACCAAAAAACTAGCAGACACTTGTGCCCTGCTGGATGTGAAGGGTGAGGAATAAATCCCCTATAACTTCAAGTGTTTGAACTGAGCAGCACTAGAATAATGCCGTTAATAAAATATGAAAATCAGAAGTGAAAAGATCTCCAGTGTGGGGCATGCAGGAGGCAGCCGATCAATGATTCCCTTTTCTGTCATTACAGGATGTGCCATTTTGACTCAGAAGTGAGAGCAGATGATGAAGGACAGGAAGGACAGAGAAACCATGATGGGCTTCAGTTCAGCTGACTGAACTTGAGGCAATGGTGGGACAGAGTTGGAGAAATGTCCACTTTAGGTTAAAGAACATTCAGAGGGTACAGGCATATTGTTGGAGGCTAAATGTGCCAGGGTCCAGCCCCAGTAGGCCAGGGGTTCCCAAAGGTGTGGACGGAGTTGGCGAAGAATGATATACATGGAGACAGAGTTCAGATGATCAGCATAACTCTCTTTAGTCTTCGTGGATCTTCCTGTGCCTGGCTGAGGCCACAGAGAAAGATCCAGAGGCAAGCTGAGCCTTTATTTTATAGTCAGAGGTAAACAAGGTAGTGGTTACCATAGTTACACTGTTCTTGTGTCAGTTGTTTTGACCATAGTTATACTGTTCTTGTGAGTTTCACTTGTTTGGGCCACTTCCTGCACCTCCCTCAGCCCATTAGCTTCCCAGATAAGATCTAGGGAGCGTCATAAGGTCAAGCCTAATTATATTAAGAGGACTGTGCCCTCTAAGCTGGGACTTGTTTGTGACTTTGCCAACAGGTCAGTCCGAGGCTTAACCCGATAGCTGCTCCCCACATAAATGGAGTGCTTTCTTTGGTGCTCCTGGTTACCTTTCTTGAGCTCATTCTAGTACCAAGGGCCTAGGACTCTCACTTTCCCCTTTCTTCTCCCTACCCCACACATCCCCATTGAGAAGATCTATTTGAGTGTCCTCCCTCACCAGACTTCTTCTCAGATTAGCAGGAAGTCACTGAACTCCAGGCAATTAGAGTACCCCGCTCTCTACTATCTCCCAGTGTCTTCTGGTCTGGCCTTGAATCCTCCGCTCTGCTCCCCACAATGAGATTGGGCTTGAGCCATATCCCTACATCATGACTGAAGAGTTCTCAAGACAGTACACCGTGCTGACCAGCCAAGTTTGGCTCCCAACTGAGCCACATGTCCCTGCTCTGGAACGTCTCACACTAGTTAGCAGATCAGGGATCAAGCCTTGGCCCTCCCCCTGCTATCTAACCTTCCAAATTGACAGCAGAGATCAAATAAATGTTGTACATCAATTATGTCTGACTAAAGGTATCACATACACTCAACCCAGTGGGTGGACTGGGGGAATGAAGTTCTACAGGAATGCTTCTAGTTGTTCGTCAGGGCTGGGGGCAGATTCCCCCACACAACAGTGTGTGTGTGTGTGTGTGTGTGTGTGTGTGTGTGTGTGTGTCCGTATAAAGGTGCATGCACTGAACTAGCAGGCTTTTCATGACAACAGAGGTGGATAAGGTCCCACATGGATCACAAGACTAGAGTCAGAATAAGAATATGAAAGAATGTGAAACACTCGGGCAAAAATAGAAAAGCACAGTCACCGGGTGGAAAGAAAGATCGCAGGTCAGGGAAGGTGGGATTCCACACGGACACTGTAGCTACCAGCACTGCGAGTCCTGTACATCACAGCTTGTGTATGAAATCCGGCTTCCCCGCTGAGCAGGCCTTGAATGCTAATAGTTGAATGAATGGTGATGATATGGCACCATCTGAAGGCTTGTCGTGCTCAGTTGAAGCCAATATTTGCTCAAATGGTTTATGGTTTTTATTGATATCACTGCTCTCCCCTTTTCGATCTAAATTTCCTTCCCCAAAGGTATCTACACTTTAAATTACAATTGCTGAAAGAGGGCAATATTTAAGCCAAGGAATAAAGTGCATCATGAAAGCATTGGTAGAAGAAATTTAGGGACATTCAATCCTATAAGTATAACCGTGGCGTTCTGAAAAGGCTTCATCTCCCTGGATATACCTCGTCTTCATCACCAGGCTTCTCAAGACACCCTGCATCAGGCTGTGGGAGAGCTGCATGTTCAGCATTACCTAATTTCCTCATAAATCTCTTGCCTTTTAATCAGCTAAGTGGCTATCTGCCGAATTTCCATGATTTATTGACATCTTATGAGGGCTGAGGATACGTCCAGCTACTAAGTGATTAAATGTGGATGAAAATGGCACATCCCATAATGACAGAAAAGGGAATCGTGATTTGGCATACATAAGACCTCACAGAGATGAATGTGGGCAGCTTCTTAAAAGGACAGGCTCCAGAGCTGCAGAGAAAACGGCACCATCAAGCTAGTTTTCACACGAAAATCTACCCAATTCCTCTCACGAGAGATGCACTCACATCCGCGGGCTCAGCAGTCCACAAGAAGCACGGCCCCCTCAGAGTCCACTGTTTCAGAGAAGCAGTGGGGACTGTAAGCTGCTAGTCATGCTGAAAGGAATCCTGGATTTCGTTTTCCCCTTACCCAACAACCATGCGGCCCGCAAGGAAGAATGTTTCCACTTCTCTGGAGATTTCATTCTTCGTCTGTTCATCAAGGGTGATCCCTGCTGAGGGCACTCATCCTAACACCCTCTTTTAAACCGAAACACTTTGATTTAACACCGCGGTTCTCAACCTGTGGCTCGCGACCCCTTTGGCGGCCGAACGACCCTTTCACAGGGGTCGCCTAAGGCCATCCTGCATATCAGATATTTACATGACGATTCATAACAGTGGCAACATTACAGTTATGAAGTAGCAACGAAAATAATTTTATGGTTGGGTCACAACATGAGGAACTGTATTTAAAGGGCCAGAAGGTTGAGAACCACTGATTTAACAGGACATGATGTTGGCTCCATAAAATGAAACGTTATTTTCTTGTCATGGGTCTTTGGTATAGTTGTTAAAGTGCAACCTGCTGGAAACACCACTGATAAGACATACCAATTCTCTGAGATGCTGGTATCAGAGAGGTGAGAAGTGTTAGCTACCTGTCCACAAAAGAGAACCTAGCTTCAAAATGCGAGTCGTGAAAATGGCAGCAGCCAAGCCCTCTCAGTGTTACCGCAGTCCAATTACACAATTTATTACCTCTCTACAACTCTAGGGAACAACCTAGCAACTATTACACTATTCAGCGGGCTTCTTTAATAGCATCAATAGCTACAAAATTCTTGAAAACTGAATACTGTTCTAATGGGCTGAAAAAGAACTTACAGGAGGTTCTCCACTTAAGAACGTGCTGAGTTTCAAAAGCGTGCGTATAAGCCAGACGTTGAAGACCACGTTGCCCAGGCTGGCCCAGCCAACTCCCAGTCTCCACACACTTATTTAAATGGGAAGCACAGGCTCGCAGTCCCTGTTGTTTAGTTGCTGAATGTGATTTGCAGTGTTGCTGCTCTGGTACACTGAGTTCTGAGTTTTAACTCAGGACACCCGGAGTGGAACTACTTTGCGCATTTCCGGAGGGAGCGGGCGAGGGGCAACACTAGGATGAAGGGGGATGATGGAAAGAGCAGAGTGGGGTAGAATAACTTACTACTGACATATACCTGCAGGCCTTCCTTTAGGTCTATTTCCCTTTAAATGTTCTGAACTGGGACCAGAGACAAAGTTCATTTAATAAACACAGAACACATGAGACAACCATAGGACCAGAAAGATGAAAAAAGCCTGTGGTTGACTTGGAAGAGCTCAACCTGTGGTGAGGAGGGGCAGGTACCCAGCAAGCACTTCAACAGGAGCTACAAGGAGGATCTGAACAAGCACCCAGGAGCCCCTGCCCAGCGGGCCTGGGAGAGGCTCCACAGAAGAGATGACATTTGAGCTCAGCCTGGCAGACATCTGGGATGTTGTCACCTGAGAGTCCCTGAGTCATCACCATCCCTTTATATACACAGGTTTATTCTTAAGTGAGGTATTTTAAGAAATAATCAGTGTGTACAAACTGAAAGTATCCCCAAAGTGCCCTGCATTTTAACATAACTTTTTTTCACTTTGACAGTTGTGATTGGTAGGAGGTGAAAACCAAGCATCAGTTTTAACAGGCTTCAGAGAATGAGAGATATTTCACTCTAAAAAAGAAATTAAAATAATTTTAAAATACTTATTCCAGCAAATTCTCTGTGAGCTCACGCTGAATTTCCTTTCATCCCAGCCTAGCTCCAAAGGGATAGGTTTATTTTACCTTACAGAAGACATGATTCTGAAAAGTTGGATGTGAAGAAATCTTGAGTATATTAAGACATTTAAAATCAACGAGGGAGCTTGGCCGGCATGGCTCAGTGGTTGAGGATCGACCTAAGAACCAAGAGGTCACGGTTTGATGCCCCGTCAGGGCATATGCCCGGGTTGCGGGCTCAATCCTCAGTACGGGATGTGCAGGAGGCAACCGATCAATTGATGTTTCTGTGTCTCTCTCCCTCTCCTTTCCTCTCTGAAATCAATAAAAATATTTTTTTAAATAAAATAAAACCAACAAGGGAAACTGGTTAATCAAAAAAACCACAGCGGGTG